CCCCCCTTGTTTTATAAAGAGTAAGTTGAGTTTTCTCATATTTAGTAATGCTATTTTTGTCAAGGAATTAACCTGACCACACTTTGAACTCCTTCCTCATCTTTTTTTGTTTTTAGGTGCATGTAGAATCCCCACTTTACCAAGTCTGTGTCATCATGATCCCCCCTAATTGTCTTTTTTTTTGAAGCTCTCATATGGGGAAAGGGTGAGTCTGAGGACTGGCTTTGTCTCACCGCCTGTGGGGGTTTCAAAATGTACATATGTGGATTATAAATATAAAAACTTGCTGGTCACACAGGAGAGGCAGTGAGGCCAGCTCAGCTCACCCGAGGGGAGTAGAGTACACTGGGGGCTCGCAATGGTGCAATTACAAAGGCGCTCCCCCACTCCATCAAGACTCCTTATCTCCTCTGGTCCTTCTACGATGGGCAAAAGCAGGGGAGGGCCCCCAAACATTGCCTGAGACGGAGTGGGCCCATCCTGGCACAGGGGCGTTGGGACCTCAGCAAGGCCATCAGAACCATAGTCCCCCAGGGTGTTTCAGTCTCTTGGCACAGCTTGGCTAGGGCAGACTTTGAAGTCTGATTTTGTCTCTCTCCCTGGCCTGAAATCTGCAGCCTGTAGGTGGTGTGTGGCTTTCATTTTAGCCCTAAGACTGCAGAAAGGCTCTGAATCACTCCACCCGTGAAAACAGGCCCATTATCTGAACCAGCTGTCTTGGGGAGCCCGTACCGAGCAGTAACTAGCTCCATCAGAGCTTTTTTCACCTCTCTAGATGTCTCAGTTTTTGTGCGGATGGCCTCTACCCAGCCCAAATAGATGCAAATCATGACCAGCAAATATTTTTTGTTTTTAAGGGTGGGGTTGATTTTTGTGAAATCCACCTCAGCATCTTTAAAGGGCAGTGTGTTTTGTCTGCAGACTCTGGGCAGTTCTGTGGAAGAGAAACTGGACTGTTGTGAGGATAAGCCGTATCTGCATGTCATATATGTGCACAGAGTCCAAAGTCTAGAGATAAAGAAGTGACGGCCAAGCAGCTCGGCCGGGTGTATATTTTTTAAGTGAGTACGGCTATGCAGCTCCTGTGTCACAAAATGTGCTATAGCCTCAGGAAGGAATATCTTTTTGTTTTCAAAACTTGCCATCATTTTGTTTTGTAGCTCTTTTTGTAGCGGCCCACTTACGTTTTGCTTTTGAATATTTGGGTGGCTTGAGGAGCAGGGCCACCACAGCCCAGGCCACAGGGCATGAGTCTCCAGTGGCAGCTTGTTTGGCTGCTAAATCAGCTGCTGGGTGTTTTGGGGCCTCTAAGAAATTTTTTTCTGATGGCCTGGACAATGGATCACGGCTACCTTGGCAGGCAACAACACAGCCTGTAACAAGTTCAGTGTCTCCTGAGAGTTTTTAATGTCCTTTTCCCCCATAGTCAGAAGGCCCCTTTAAAGTACCAAAGTTGTATCAGGCTTACCTTCTCCTATTTTTAAGCCCAAGTAAGTGCCATCAGTTTGGCCTTTTGTGCTAACATTCCAGCAGGCAAAGCCTTGGACTGTCTGCTCAAGGGTGACAACTGTTTCCACCCTCCAAGCCCCATCGATCACCATGCTGTTGCTGTCCGAGAACAGTGTCAAGTCGTGTTCTGGAGGGGTGTGTCCTGTAGGTCCGATCTGGCTGAGTAGATTGTCTC